ATATATATATATATATATAATATATATATATATATAATTTATATTTATATATATATATATATATATATACAAATATATGTATATATATATATGTATATATATATATATATATATATATATTTTTTTCTTTTATATATATATATATATATATATATATATATATATATATATATATATATATATAATATATATATATATATATATATATATATATATATATATATATATATATATATTCATTTACTCACACACACACACACGTCCGGGCACCGTCGAAACTGCGCCTCGTGCTTTGGCCCGAAGCGAAACGAGGGCAGAGGGCGGTATCGGCGCAGGAACCTCAGAACGCTTGGGAATTCCTGGCCCGCTGCGGACCCCCGTCACTCGCGCTTATATAACAGCGAGGAGAGTGAGTCACCGTCGGTTTCGCCGCATGACTGGAATGGTTAAGAAAAAAGATTCAATTGTCAGATGGAAGATGATTCGCGCTGTGGGTAGTGGTGAGGGTTCAGTGACTTGATGCTAAATGGTTTGACAAGGAAAGAGGAAGATAAGCAAGTCCCATCTGTTTCATCTTTAACGTGGAAACTATGGGCCAGTTATCCCCTATTTATTAGACTATGGCTGATCCGCGGTCAAAAGAAGAGAGAAAAAAAAGAGAAAAAGGGAACCGGTTATAGGAAGAGAACAAAAGAAGAGACAAAAATCGAAAAAAAAGAATATATACGCATGACTGCTGAAAGACCAAAGGTAGTGAAGAAAAAATAAAGAAAAAAAATAGATAAAAAAACACAAGAAGAAATCGACTGCTAAAAAAGAGAAACTAAAATAGAAGGGGAACACGCAACGTAACGATGATGGTGGTAAAGACAACAATAATCATAAGAAAGAGAAAATCCAGAAACAAAAACAAGTATAGAAGAATCGGCCAAAACTAGATCTAAAGAGGATTTCTTGACCTTCTTTTTTTGCTTTTCCCTCTTCTTCTTGTCTTTTTTCTTCATTTTCTTCTTCGTTTTCTTCTTATTTTCACTTCTCTTTTCTCTCATTATTGCCATTATTGATCTTATCATTATCATCATTATTATTATTATTATTATCATTATTACTATCACTATCATCACTATGATTGTAATAATAATAAGAACAATAGTAATAATAATGATAATAATAATAATAATAATAATAATAATAATAATAATAATAATAATAATAATAATAATAATAATAATAATTATTATTATTATTGCCATTATCATTGTTATCATTATCATTATTATCATTATTATCATTTTTATTGCTATTGTTCTTATTATTATCACAATCATAGTGAAGACAGTGATAGTAATAATGATAACAATAATACTGATAATCATAATAATAAATATTATCATTAGAAGTATTAATGTTATTAATTTGTTCTATTTTTTCATCTATTTAATATCATTTATTATCACTGTTATTCTTATTCTTATCTATATTCTTATCTTTATTATCATTATAATTATTGTTATCATTGATGTTATTATCAATATTATTATCATCATTATTATCAAGAGTACAATTACTACTATTATTATTATTATTGTTATTACCGTCATGGTAATAACAGTAGTAAAATATATAGCAATAATTAAAATGATAATAGTATCATTATTGTCGTTATTATTATCATGGTCATGATCATTATTATTACGATCATTATTACTGTTATTATTATTGTTATTATTATTATTATTATTATTATTATTATTATTATTATTATTATTGTTATTATTATTGTTATTAATATTATCATTATTATTATTATTATTATTATCATTACCATTATTATTATAATTATTATTGTTATCACTGTTATCATTATCATCATCATTATTATTGTTATCATTATTGTTTTTGTTATTATTATTATTATTATCACTACTACTTTTTCTACAATCCTTGTCATTAGTATTATCAAAACTGTTATTATTTTTATAGTTACCATTATCATCATCATTATTCTTAAAATTGTCATCATTTTCAATATTATCATCATCATTATTTTTTTCTATCCATCTCTCTTCTGTCTCTCAATTTCACCCATTTCTCCTCTCCATTTTCCCCGTTACAATTTCATCAATTCCTTCCTTCCTTCTTTCTTCCCTTCTCTTCTCTCCCTCCCTCCTTCTTTTTCCCGTCGTTCCTGCCCTTCCCTCTCTCCTTTCTTGCCCTTCTCTTCTCTTCCCTCCCTCCCTCCTTCCTTCTCCCTGCATTCCCTCTCACCCCCCCTTCCTCCCTTCCCTCCTTCTCCCCTTTTTCACTCTTCCTTCTTCCCTTCCTTCACTCTTCCTTCCTTCCCTCCTTCTCCCTTCTCTCCAACTCTCCTTCCCTCCCTCCCTCCTTCTCTCCCCCCTCTTTTCTCCTTCTCCTCTCCTTCCTTCCCTCCCTCCCCCTCCTTCCCTCTCTCCCTCCCTCCTTCTCCCCTCTCTCCTTCCCTCCTTTCCTCCCTCCCAGCTTTTCTTCTTCTCCCATCACTCCTTCCCTTCCTCCCTCCCAGCTTTTCTTCTTCTCCCCTTTCTTCCCTCTCTTCCCTCCTTCTTCCCTCCCTCCCCTCTCTACGAATACCCTGGAACAGCAACAAAAGACGAGACTCACGGTCCCTATTATTCTCCCGGAAGCAAGGTGATCTCTTCGTTCGATCATGCACTCGCTCTTATGTAACTGCGACTGGGGACCGTTCGCTAACATACTTCGCTTCGGAATGATTACAGAAATTGTATAAGTGTAATGAAGGGTATTTTGTGTGAGTCACTGAAGCGGGTGT